GAAACTGGATCTTTCTCACTTAAAGGTATTTGGTTATCTTTGTTTTAAAACCAATAGCATTCCACACAAAGATAAGTTTAGTGCACGAGCTATTAAATCCATTTTCTTGGGTTATCCCCCAGGTCAAAAGGCATACAAACTGTATGACCTTGAAAAGAAAACAATTTTTGTTTCCAGAGACGTTATCTTTCATAAAGACATGTTTCCGTATAATAAAACCTTTGATAATTCTTCTCAGCCTAAAACAAGTGATTTACATGTTTCCAATCCTGATTTGTTCCCTTCGGGCCCTATTTCATCTGATTTTCCTTGTATCACTAACCTCGGATCCTTCTTTTTCATCCCCATTGTCTCCCTGTTCTATTCTTGAAACTGACACGGGGGCAGGTTCTTCATCATCACCTCATTCCAATCAACCAAGATCTATCATTCCTGAGCACTAAACCTCTTCTTCTTCTAATCCTAGACCAACTGTTCCTAGGAGAAGTTCCCGACCTAAATTTACCCCTATGTGGATGCAAGACTATGATGGTTATAAAGCGCAAACTGTTATGAGTTTTCCACAACACCAACACACTAGCACTAATACATATACTTCATCATATACACCATCTGTCTATCCTTTTATTCCTGTGAATCATTTTTCTGCATAGCACTTGTCATTTTTAGCCCAAAATAGATGCCATAAAAGAACCCAAATCATATTCTGAAGCCCGAACCAGCCCTGAATGGGTTCAAGCTATGTAGACAGAAATCCAAGCCTTAGAAAATAACCAAACTTGGGACATAGTAACACTTCCAGCAGGAAAACATGCCATAGAATTTAAGTGGGTTTTAAAGGCCAAGTATCATCCCGATGGCTCTTTAGAAAGACACAACTCCCGGTTAGTAGCAAAGGGGTTTAACCAAATAGAAGGTGAAGATTATTATGATAGTTTTTCACCGGTCGTTAAGATTGTAACTGTCAGGATGATGTTAGAATTAGCCACAGCTTCTGATTGGAGTGTCCACCAATTAGATATCAACAATGCTTTCTTGCATGGATTTCTTGACGAGGAAGTCTTTATGCAATTACCTGAGGGCTACTCATCAGCTCAACAGGGTCAGGCTTGTCGGCTCAAGAAATCCCTGTATTGCTTGAAACAGGCTTCCCGACAATGGAATGCCGAATTTACCATCAAAATTCAACACTTTGGGTTTAGTAAATCCCCTCATGATAAATGTTTGTTAATTAAACATGTTGATGATTTGTTTTTAGCCCTAGTGGTTTACGTTGATGATATTATCATTACTGATTCTAGTGAAGAAGCTATTCTTCAAGTTAAAGCTTTCTTACATGCTCAGTTCACCATTAAGGATCTAGGTTATGCTAAGTATTTCCTAGGGATAGAGATTGCTTGATCTCGTGATGCCATGTATCTTAATCAGCAAAAATATGTTTTAGACATCGTTAGTTCCCTTGGTCTTCTTGGCTATAAGCCCACAACCACTCCTCTGCCTAAAAGGGCACCAATTTGGAGAAGATTGTGGTGCAGTATTGCCGGATCCTTCTCAGTATCGGCGGTTGGTAGGTCAGTTGCTGTATCTGAATTTTACAAGGCCGGATCTCACTTTCGTTGTTCAGCAGCTTAGTAAATTTGTTCAGACTCCCTGTGAAGCTCACTGGACAACACTGGTTCATGTTGTCAAGTACCTTAAAAGTACTTCTGGCCATGGTCTCTTTTATTTAGCAGTCTGTGACTTTAAATTGCAGGCATATAGCGATGCTGACTGGGGTGGTAACACAGTTCACGAGCAATTACTAACAGGTTTTTGCATGTGTTTTGGGTTCTGTCTTGATTTCATGGAAGACTAAACAGCAGCCCACTTTATCTTTTTCTTCCTCTGAAGCTGAGTATCGGAGTTTAAGTTTTAGCGCTCGTGAGTTGTTGTGGATTTCCTACTTGTTGACTGATTTTCAGATTCCTGTTTGTATGCCTAGTTCTCTCTGGTGCGATAACAAGTCTTCTATACATATTACTAAGAATGAAGTGTTTCATGAGAGGACTAAGCACTTAGATCTTGACTGCCACTTTGTCCGAAATTAGTACAAGTTGGGTTTTTTTGGTGCCTTTACATGTTAGTACTCATGAGCAGCTTGCCGATGTCTTCACCAAAGCATTGAGCTTTCCTGTTTTCTCTTCTCTTTTGTCCAAGCATGGAGTGAAGTCTTTTCTTCACAGTCCAGCTTGTGGGGAGAGGGGGGGAGGGGGGTGAAGATCCTGATGCTTGAAGGTGTTGTTTGTACATATCATCGTAGTTGTATAGCTGATGCTTTTGTATAGTTGTTCGTATAGTTGCTTGTTTGTATAGTTGACCAGCCTTTGTATAGTTGACTGTCTTGTATAAGTTAAGTATAGTAATTGTATATCTTTGATAAGTCAGGGGGTAAAGTTGTAAATAGGCAACAGTATAGTATAGGTTTAAATAGAAGGTCCATGTACAGTTGAGGTTGTTGTATCATAACCCGAATTCAGTAATTAGATTTCTCCCCCAATTTACAAACCCTAACTGCTGTCGTCTACTCTATGCAACTTCAATCTTGTCTTGTTTGAAAATGTGAGGCGAGTTTTTGAATGGAACGGGGTTAAATTTGAAGTGGACGAGACTTAGTATGATTTCGGGACTTGTTATGAGATTGAATGTGAGAGCTCAAAGCCTGAAAATGTGAAGGGGATTATTGAAGGTTTCTTGAACCAAAACGGGATTGGATATTCCTACTCCCAAAACTCAGTTTGCCATTTTTCGGTCTGGAAAGTTGCCTCAGCAATAAGGCTATTATTTGATTTTAGTTTTATGCTTGTTTTTAAGTCGGTGTATTAATTTTGTTATTGGAGAAATTTGGTTATATATGTAATCGCTGATCCATTTTGCACTAAAGGTGATTGCTTTTATTATTAAATTATACGACGACATTTCTTTCCACATCATATTCCCTATGTGTTTCAAATCGTGTTGATGGAACTGTAAACGAGCACAAGTTTCAAATACCGTTTCAATAGGGTTTGCCACCATTAAAGGTTTACTGGAAGCATTGCACACTTCACTGCAACTATTGATGGCTTTGACGATAATGATTTCCGTACATGTCAATTTGCGACGGTTTGTTATAAAATTGTTAGTAGATTTTCTTCTTTTTTTTGAAAATAATTGTTAGAAGATTTATTTGTTAAATAAATAAACTTTGTATTTGTCTTAATATTAGAATTGATGGAATGATGTTATTTCAATAGCGACCAAGTTCCACATTAATCATCAAATGGATTTTTTTAAACAAAAAATAGACGATAACTTTTACATGTTTGCATAACCAATATTTTTCTTTATTCCTTTTCAAATATATATATATATATATATATGTATATATATATATATATACTTCTTTATTTATAAATGCAAATTGCAGAAAATCACTTTTGTTCTCAATATCTAACAAGGAAGGGGGAAAAAAAATTTAGCCCCCCCCCCCCCCTCTTTTATAGGATCATCGGTTTGTTTCTCTTCTTGATTTTCTCTTTCTTCATTCTACATATGGGCCCGTACCGTCTTCAACTACAGTTAGATTAGCAGCTAATAGAGATGTCCAGTTCTAGACACAATTCTATCTGCATTGAGCAATATAAAGAAGTCTTCCGACCTTTCATGTTCCGATGTGGGATGGGATGCTGACAGAAAATTCAAAAATCACAAAAACCAAACAGAGCCGCCCAACAACATTTGTACGTGTATCTACTTCATAATATCAAAACACTTCTCCTCGTGTTCCCATCAATCTCCATAACTGCTTCCTCATTATAAATTTTTTGTTTCCAACAGACAAAACATTTAGAATATTCCGAATTTAACTCTAATTAAGTGGTGATGGTGAAATTGATTTAAGCTGTCGGATATCAAAACTTATCAACAGTCTAGATCTCATATGAGATGTATATTTTCACATAATTTTTTTGCCATCGAGACTCTTATTCAAGTAGTACTATAGGATAAGAATTAGTGTCAAACATATATTAGAAGATGACAGGATTCAAAAAATTGAGATTAGGTGGAAACTTCTCTTCATGAATATCAAAAAATTAAAGTAATTAGAATCCGATTGTCTGGAAATGTTTACTACACGCTGAAGCTGCAGAGAAAAAAAATCAAATGGTGTTATCTGTTCAAAACTAGTTGAAGATGCAAATGTGGTCAGTCTACGAGTAAAAGCCACAGCTTCAACACTTGCAACTTGATGATGATCGACGGTCAGATGATGACATACTTCTGACAGAAATTGATCCTGATCACACGATCATGAATCAAGTATTGCAGCTGGAGTAAATAAGTCAATGTGAATTCTGTACATAAAGTCAATATATACAGCTGTAAATAAGATGTAAATATGTTAGTTAGTAGGTTAATATTAGTTAGGGTTAGCTTTGTTGTTAATAAATAGAACGGTGATGATTGATACTGTACTTAATGTGATTAATACAACACAAATTTTTTTCCCCAAAATCTAAAATGATTCTCTCTCTGTTCTCGAACCTTCCACCATGTTTAACCCTTGCAAGCTTTTCATAGTATCAGAGCATTAGGCTCTTGATTCTTGAATTGCTACTATACATCTCTTCCTCTACACTATTGATTAGTTTCTACCGGAGCAATTTATCTTTTCTTGATCGAAATGGCGAATTATGAGTTTTCTCCGGCACAGCGTGCGGCTGAAGAACAGAGGATTCGAGAGGCAACTCTTAACTTGTTTTCTTCTGAGCATCCAGGTCTAGTACTGGTTTCTGTACCACTAGACGACAACAATTATCTTGTGTGGAGTAGATCCATGCGTACAACACTCGAATCAAATATGAAGGTTGCGTTCATTGATGACACGCTTCCTAAGCCTCCTATGATTCAATTTTACATGTCAGATGGAAAAAAGTCGACTCCACGGTCAAATCATGGATTATGGCGTCGATTTCTAGAGAATGTCGGCAAAACAATTGTGGTTGCATCTGGCAGAACAATATGGAACTTCAAACAGCAACAAGTTGTATAACATGAGAAAGGAACGAATTGATGTCCAACAAGGTGACAATTCTCTAGTAAATAATTATAATTCGTTGAAAAGAGTGTGGGATGAATATGACCATTATCATCTAATGCCTGTTTGTATACCTGCTGTGGCAAGGATTCTGCAAACTCGTGATCAGGAAGACAAGTTAATTGACTTCCATATGGGCATGAATAAGTCATACGAAGCCATCAAGGATCAAATACTGTTGATTGATCCTCCACCTACGCTACATCATGCGTATGCTATGGTGTTCAGGGTGGAAAAACAGCTGAAACCTAGTTCAGGAGGAATGATGAACTCTGAGAACAGTGCCTTTGCTGCAAGATCATACATGAATACTGGAGTTGTGAATCCTGGTTCAAACAGTTTATATTGGATGGGGAACAATGGAACAAGAGCTGGAACAAATGTGGTGGACAATCAAAGTCATTATACAGGTGGTTCAAGCAGTAACATTAGTGGTAATAGTACTAGTAATGTCAGCTACAACACTGCAGGAACAGGCTTACTAGCAAAACCTCAGATGCAACTAGATAGAAGGAACATCAGTGGGTCAAATGCATCCGGGCTGTTAAACAAGAAGACTAAAGCAGAAATGTTTTGTGCTCACTATCAAAGAACTGGTCACATTAAGGAGGGATGCTTCCTGATTACTGGATATCCAAATTGGTTGAAGGAGTTTAAACAGAAGATGGCTGTAAATAGTCAGAAAAACTATGCTCATGTGGCAGATGAGGAAACTCCACTAGGAATGCCAGATAAGGGATTGGACTTGAACACTATGGCTCTCCAAATCAGTCAGATTCAGCAAAGCTTTAATACCTTGATGAAAGGAAAGGGAGTTCAGAATGATCAAGTCAACCATCAAGTGAATATTGCTCACCTCAATGAGTTTGCAGGTAGCACCCCTTCTTCTCACTTATATGCATGTGTTGATTTAAGGAATGATCTTTGTTTCTTTGATAGTGGAGCCACTGGACATATGATTCGTTCTTTATCTTGGTATAAAAATAGTTCTAAACCTGTTAGTGTTCCTACCCCTGTTAGACTACCTGATGGTTCCATCTAATATGTAGAACAGTCTGGTGATATTAAAATAAGCCACAGGATCACATTAGAAGGAGCCTTATATGTTTCCACTTTCAAATATAATCTCATCTCTGTAAGGAAACTTGCTCAAACAGCCAAAATTTACTTCTCTTTCATATCTGAATTGTGCATCATGCAAGACCTCATGACTGATGAAGTCATAGGTGTTGGAATGGTGTACAAAGGACTCTATGCCCTCACAAAAGACTCATTTGATCCCATCCACATCAAATTTTCTATTCAAGAGTAGTTTCCAATACTTCTTCTTAGAGGAACAATAAACAGTCCTCTTCAATCCTCAATTTGTAATAATCCAATGTGGCTTTAAATGTACAGTGGCATAGCGGACTTGGCCATCCTTCTTTCCCTGTACTAAAACATCTAGGTTATTTGATTGATTGTAAAGTCTTAGAAGATGTTTCCTGTGATGTATGCCCTTTGGCAAAACAACAAAGGTTCTCTTTTCCTGACAGTTCAATAAAGACTACAAATATTTTTCAGCTTATACATGTGAACATATGGGTCCTTACAGTCATTATAATCTTTTCCAGACACACTATTTCATAACCATTGTAGATGATTACAGCAGGTGTACTTGGACACAACTACTTAGACATAAACCAGAAGTTCTACAAATTCTGAAAATCTTCTTTTCTATGGTTCAAAATTAGTTTAATACATTAGTTAGGATAGTGCGTTCTAATAATGGCAGTGAGTTTGTTAATCAACATTGCCAAGACCTTTTCTCTTCTCTAGGAACCTTACATAAAAAATCTTGCTCTTATACTCCACAGCAAAACGGTGTTGTTGAAAGAAACCACAAACACCTTTTGCAAGTTGCAAGATCTTTGATGTTTCAAAGTTCATTGCCAAAGAATTTTGGGGGGATACCATTCTTACAGCTACTTATCTCATAAATCGTCTTCATTCTCCTCTTTTATCCTGGAAAACTCTTTATGAAATCCTTTTCAATAAACCTCCGGATCTCAACCATTTAAGAGTGTTTGGCTAATTATGCTTTATGACAAATACCAAACCACAGAAAGACAAGTTTGATCCAAGAGCTTTCAAGTGTGTTTTCATAGGTTATCCAGTGGGACAGAAAGCATACAAATTATACAACCTAGATGATCATAAAGTCTATACTTCCAGAGATGTCATTTTTAAGGAACAAAGTTTTCCTTTCAAAGATTTAACCAATATAGTTTCAGATCTTCCTCTTCCAGTTACTCCTTTACCAGATATTTCATCTGATGATTCATTTCTTCTTCCCTCAATAGTTCCTTCTGTTGATACAAACAATCCTCCTCCCTCACCTGATAATGTCTCTCCTTCTCCTCCTCCTGTTTCCATTCCTAGAACAAGTGGAAGAATTAGAAAACCTCTCTGTTGGATGACACAATATGTGTCTCATTCTTTTATGACCACTTCATCATCAGATATTGTATCTACATCTAAATTCAACCCACATGTCACATTTCCTTTTATCCATCAGCCTTATCTTTCTTCTACACATAATGCCTTTTTGACCAATATTACCAAGATACCATAACCTACTTCATATGTCCAAGCAAAAGATCATCTTGAATAGTAACTTGCTATGAAATGAGAACTTGAAGCTTTGGAAGGAAATTAGACCTGGGAAGTCACTGAATTACCTCCTGGCAAAAGAGCCATAGGCTGCAAATGGATCTTTAAAGTCAAGTACAATCCGTATGGGAGTGTTGAAAAGTATAAAGCCTGGCTTGTTGCAAAATGCTACACACAAATTGCAGGAGAAGATTACTATGAATCTTTCTCTCCAGTGGCCAAGCTTGTGACTGTTAGAGTTGTTTTTGCCTTAGCAGCAGCCAGAAACTGAATTCTTCACCAACTAGACGTGAATGTTTTTCTGCATGGTTCACTTCAGGAAACAGTCTATATGCATTGTCCACCTAGATATGACAAGGCCACAGCTACTCAGGTTTGCAAGCTTATGAAGTCATTGTATGGCCTTAAACAGGCCTCAAGGCAATGGAATCATGAATTAACTTCTAAGTTGGAATTGTTTGGTTTTAAGCAATCTACTGCTGATCATTGTTTGTTTACCAAGACCAGTGAAGGTGATTTTTTGGTGCTCTTGGTATATGTTGACCATGTGTTAGTCACTGGTTCTTCTGAAATGCTGATCCTTAAAAATAAGCAGTATGTCCATCAACTCTTCACTTAAGGACATTGGACAAGCCAAATACTTTCTTGGTGTGGAAGTAGCTAGGTCTCCTACTGGAATTGCTTTGAATCAACATAAATATGTGCTGGATATTCTTACTAGCACTGGACTGTTAGGCTATGTACCAGCCTCAACACCTCTTCCAAAAGGTCTTGTTTTGTATGAATCATCCACTCCTCTCCTCAGTGATCCAGAACCATATCGCAGATTAGTTGGGAGGCTGCTCTGTCTTGGCTTTACAAGGCCTGATTTGACTCATTGTACTCAACAACTGAGTCAACACACTCTTGCTCCTCGTGAGTTTACTGCAAGCAGCACTTCATGCAGTCGGGTATCTGAAAGGAACAGCTTCCTTAGGGTTGTTCTATCCTCAGTCCAATGATCTTCAACTTGTTGCATTCTCTAATGCTGACTGGGGACAGTGTCCTCAAAGTCGTTTATGTCTTACTGGCTTTTGTGTTTTCCTCGGAAATGCTCTTATTTCATGGAAAACCAAAAAGCAAACTACTATATCTCGGTCTTCTTGTGAGGCTAAATATCGTAGTTTGGCATCTACAGTGTGTGAGTTGCAATGCCTTTCCTACCTGTTGACTGATCTTCATGTTCCTTGCACTCTTCCCATTCCGCTGTTTTGTGACAACCAGTCCGCTCTCCATATTGCTGCCAATCCCAATTCCATGAGCGTACGAAGCATCTTGACATTGACTGTCATGTCGTACGCAATCAATACAAGACCGGCTTCATTGATCTCCTTCACATAGGCACCAAGTTTCAGCCGGCTACAATCTTCACCAAAGTGTTGTGCACGCCTCAGTTCGAGTATCTTCTGTCCAAGCTAAGTTTGGTTGATCTTCACAATCCCAAATCTCAGCTTGAGGGGGCATCTATGAGTTAAAGCCGCAGCTTCAACACTTGCAACTTGATGATGATCGACGGTCAGATGATGACATACTTCTGACAGAAATTGATCCTGATAACACAATCATGAATCAAGTATTGCAGCTGGAGTAAATAAGTCAATGTAAATTCTGTACATAAAGTCAATATATATAGCTGTAAATGAGATGTAAATATGTTAGTCGGTTAATATTAGTTAGGATTAGCTTTGTTGGTAATAAATAGAACGGTGATGATTGATACTGTAATTAATGTGATTAATACAACACAAATTTTTTCCCCAAAATCTAAATGATTCTCTCTCTATTCTCGAACCTTCCTTCATGTCTAACCTTAGCAAGTTTTCCAGTAAGTTCTCGAATCAATTAATCAAACTATCAAAATCATCAACCTAAACCATCATTTTATGAAAATTTCTTTTTTCTTTTTTAAGAAACAAATTTCTTTGATAGGAAAATGCTTGCTACGTAACATGAAATAATAAATCTTATACGTGTAAATCTTAAAAATTCAATTTTAAGTCATAAAAATTAATTAGAATACTTTCATAACGGAGGGAGTAATTATTTTAGATTACTGATACATGTCAGAAAAATTTATAGAAAATGTTATCCAGGATCATGCGGTTGACTATCCCTAACCCTTAAATGCATAAATTACAAAAGGTAAAGTGTAAGCATGGAAGTAAGAATTCGTTTCCTTTTAAAATTTCCTATAATTTTCAACTACGTAAATCATTGTCCATAATTTTATCCATATAAAACAAAATTGAACCTATAAATTTGATGGGGAAGGCGTACTACACTCTTTCAAACAGACACAAGGGGCTCATGGTACTGTGAATTCTTCTGAACCATCTAACTTATATAAGTCATACTATAAATGTGATAATAACGATATGTATTGCCACTGACTACAAGCATGATACACAACACAAAAACATGTTGTGATTGTCTGAAGAAACTAAACTAGAGGATGAAGTACGTATCACGTATGGATTTACCTTATATACCAGCAGAAATAGCATGGCTGATTATGAATTCTTTTTTGTTTATTCAGAACTCACGTTATGTTGAATTTACGAGAAGTGAAATTTACGAGAAGTGAAACTTATATGGTTCAATTGCAATAATTTTCACTACTGGATTCACGTTATGTTGAATCACATGGCCGTCTGTGGCAATCCACAATTCATTTTTCTCTTGTATAGTGTAGGGGAAAAAGAAACCAAATAAATAGATAATAACTCTATTAACCTCGAAGGGTACATCGTAGCTAGCTAGGAGAGAAGAATCTCAGTAAAGAGTATGCTAAACGTTTACAAAATTTCATTCATTTTTGTTCATGAATCCAAAATATTAATACTAATAATTACTAACCAATTTATAAATGTCGCACTTTTTACCTGAAGTGTTACGTAAATATATGTTTTTATTTTTTCGGAGGTTAATGATGTTTATATTTCAACTTATACAAAGGGAGTGGAATTATGACAATGCAAGAAGTATTTCTTTTTATTTTTTTTACTCCTTCGGTCCCAAAAAAATAGTCCACTTTGAGTTTGTAAATTTGTACTATAAACAGTACAAAACTTAAAACTCAATGCGGACTATATTTTTTTTGGTACAGAGGTTTTTTTTTTTTTTTGAGTGTTTCATTCCGGACATTGCCAAAATATATATTATGCATTTTATACATATATACTAGAAAATAAAAGATTGGAAAATGCTAATAATGGTATCATTTAACAGCATTTAAGCAAAATATATCCTTCCATTCTCGAACCCCCTTTCATTACTTTTGTGGTTTTAGGAACAAGAATGACTCTTTAAAAGAGAAATAATTAATTATTCAGATCTGCAAGATAATCACTATAAAAAGTTGTCATTTGACAATATTAATATCACTCTAAAAAATTTGAACAATTTAATGCCATTCTGATTTTAGGGTACGTGATGGATATTTTTCACATCTAAAATTTTCTACTCTCCACCCAAAAAAAAAAAAGCACTCATTTTTAAATTGCAAAATGAGATAACAGAAACTTTATCAAATTGCAATATTGTCAAGTTAATAAAATTTGGCAAACCCAATGAAACTAGAACATGTAACAAAACGCATTTATTTTTTTCGTGGAAAAAAAAAAGTAACAACAGAAAAAGAAAAAAATCATGGTAATTTAAGTAATGAAAATCACTTGCAATGAAAAACAAATATATATATATATATATATATATATATATATAAATATAAAGAAGCCTCGAATACTCCATCAAATCTCACCATATTTTGTTTTTTTCTCGTTTGGACCATTCGGAGGACACAACAAAATCCTCGAGCTTTTCATTTTTCTTCAATTGATCAGTATGGCTGAAGAAGAAGTGCAAAAAAACGAATCTAAAATCCCAGAAATCGTTTTGAATTCAGGACACAAGATGCCGGCGTTAGGGATGGGATGTGCCGCCGAGAAACTGCCACCAGTGGAGGAGTTGACGTCAATTCTGGTTCATGCAATGGAGATCGGCTACCGGCACTTTGACACCGCCGCCTGTTACGGCTCGGAGGAGGCCGTCGGAAAAGCCGTGGCTAAGGCTTTGGAAATCGGTTTGATACAAAATAGAGATGAATTGTTCATCACTTCTAAGCTCTGGATCACCAACAGTCATCATGATCTTGTTCTTCCAGCCCTGAAGAAAACCCTCGAGTAATATATACTGATTTTCAATGCTTCTTTTACTACTATATTTTGGTTTTAGGATTTCCGTAATCTTCAAAAAATTGAGTATTTCCGTAATTGTAAATGTATATTTTCTTTCTTTTGCATTAAACACGGCATGACTTACAAAAATGGTTGATGAGTCATAAAAATCACTTAGAAATAGTCTTAAGCCTTTAACCATATTTCGTTATAAGAGATTCTTTTATTCCCCCCTAAAAAAATAAAAAAAAAATAAAAAAAAATCTTCTCCTTTCATTTCCGTCTTATAAACACAATAGCAATCCAAAATTTTTTGTTACAGGACTCACGATGATATATGTCACTGAATCGAATTCTTGTCTTCTTCAACTTCCATTTTTTTTTTTCATTTTTCTTTCTTTTTGTGTCTTTTGAAATTTATGTTAGGACCATGGGGCTAGAATATTTGGACTTGTATCTGATTCACTGGCCAGTGAGGATAAAGGAAGGGGCTAATATGTTTAATCTTGCGGAAGGTGAAGTGTTGCCCTTTGATATTCATGGGACTTGGAAGGCCATGGAAGATTGCTCCAAATTGGGATTAACCAAATCTATTGGTTTGAGCAATTTCTCTTGTGAAAAAATCTCACAACTCCTTGAACATGCCACCATCCCACCTGCAATAAATCAGGTACGTATAAGCTGATTTTACTTGAACTATATTTATTGAATTGATAAGTCACAGCAAATTTAGTTAATTTGCAATTTACATGTGGCACAATACATTAATTGTTGGTTCACTTTAAAATCATAATCCACAATTTGCAACTGTTGATTTGGGTACATAGTTTGAAGACTGGTTTTGTGCATTTTACACAAAGTCATGTTGTTAATTTCAGGTGGAAATGAATGTTAGTTGGCAACAGCGGAAATTACTACCATTTTGCAAGGAGAAAAGAATACATGTATGTGGTTGGTCTCCACTTGGAGCTTATGGTGTTCTTTGGGGATCTAATGCAGTCATGGAGAGTCAAATCCTCAAAGACATTGCAACTTCTAAGAGCAAGACCATTTCTCAGGTTAATTACTCCACATTAAAACTTTTTTCTACTAGTACTTTTTTCAATGCTCATTTTCTCTTGAAAGAATAATTCATATTGAATTTTTATACTTATACTGTTTTTCGTACAAACTCAGTCTAAACTATTTTTTCTGAACAAAAAGAATATATTTTTGTTGTCATGGTAATTACTTATAGTTAAATAGATCGGTAAATTAAAAGATTGTTGGTGCAATTTGATTAGGTGGCTCTGAGATGGATATATGAGCAAGGAGTAAGCCCAATTGTTAAGAGTTTTAATGAGGATAGGATGCAACAAAATCTCCAAATATTTGACTGGGAACTCACAAAGGAAGAAAACGTTCAGATTCTGCAAATCCCTCAACGTAGAGTATTTAGAGCAGATTCATTTGTGCAGGAAAATGGACCAATTAAATCTGTTGAGGAGCTATGGGATGGAGACATATGAATCTTTAATTTCCATTATGGACCTTTTTCTTTCAATCTATGATTGAGTATTTAGCATGGGATTTTTTTTTACTCCGGAACAGATTAAGCCAACACTGAGCCTTCTATGGTGTTGATTTCAACAATTTAGTGAGTTTGAACATTCGATGAATTGAGAAGAATAAGTAGCCATGAGGTGGATTTTTTTAAAAAAAAAATATTTTTTTTGTGCATTTTACATTCATTATTGATTCATTATCAAACTACCAGGGTTATATATTCTCTGTGCTAGCATACTTAGCTTTAGTCAGCGAATAATACTAGGGAAAGCAATCAAGTCGTTTATCAACTGAAATATTTTATTTTAAATTTGGATTTGAGCTAGAAAAAAAAAACTCCAACATAAGCTACCCCTTGATATATTCCAAAATGTAAAAGTGCAATTACCTCGAATATTAACACGTAAAAAGAAAATTATATACTGTACATAGCTAGTGTACAAAACTTAGGGAAACGAAAGCCTAAACAAAGTTCAGTTTAGGTGCATGGTTAGTCACTAATAATGGAACTTGGGGATATAAAATAAGAATCTACCCAATAAACACCTTCTCTTTAATTTGGTGATAGACTGATAGGGAAATAAAACTACACTGGATGAACATTTGAAAAGAAACACGTAAAATTATCTGACATTACATTGGTTTCTTCCAGGATATGGTGAACAACTGAATAAGTTCATCTCCAAACAATCATCGTGATTTTTTATTTATTATTTATTTATTTTTACTTTCAATCAACTACTGAGCTATATTTTCCAAAGAATATGAATTACATATATCAAATTGTAATCGAATAACAACAAATTAGATATTATATATTTATAGTTTTTTATCAAACACCAATACTAACTCTCTTTCTTCTTCTATATTTTGTTTTTGGATTTCTAAGAAACAATTTCTTGATAGAAAAATGGGTAAGTAACAATAAATATATGTATGTAAATCTTATAAATCTATTTTTTACATTTTTTATTTCTGAATTCTATTTCTTTTTTACAACGCCGAGAACCCCACCAAAGATGGGTAAACTCATGTTTATAGCAACGTGTTACAAATTACAGTGGGAGATAAACCACCATAAACAAGTCGGAGGCAAAATCAAGAGTTCATGTATGAATTTGTCATAATAAACCTTTTAGAGATGTCAATGGGAAAGGTCAGAGCAACCACCCACTCTTGTTGAAACTAGATTATTTGAGGGAGTAATAATTTTGAGTATCTTAAAACCTTTAAATTTGATAGGGAAGACGTAGTTTTACTCTTCCAAACAGACAGACATGCACGTAAGGGAACTCATGTTACTGACAATTTCTTCTGAACCATCTAACTTCGTCATACTATGATTGTGATAATTACTGCTTATATATATATTTACTAGGATTCTATTAGACTCATTATAATAATCAGCACAAATTAAATGATCCTGTGATTGTATGAAGAAACTAAACCCGATGATGAAATGCGTATGGAATGGATTTACCATGTATACCGGCAGAAATTATGACATGGCTGAATTCTTTTTGTGTTGTAGGGAACTCAATGTTAGGTTGAACCTACGAGAATTAAGTTAAAATATGAATAACATGGATTTGTCATATACCAGTAGAAATAACGTTATATATTGTTCCATTGGGATAATTTTCACAATTAAACTCACGTTATATATGCTGAATCACATGCATGAGTATATGCAACAATTTTTCTCTTGTATAGACTAGGAAAATAATAATAATAACTAGATGTTTGCTCTGGACGAATGCCTGAGTCGCCTGTATTTTAGATTGGTTAAATGAAAAATACAAATCATATAATAAAATTAATATTTTTTATTATAACACACACACACATATGTATATATAATATAGATTTCTTAGCCCGGGCAAATACCCATCCGACTGACAATACAGATGATACATTTACATACAAATGATACATTTACATCCCGAAAGAAGAAGACTCCATCAACAACTGGAAATATTACTTTGTCCTCGCCCATATCGAGTTACTGCATAAAACTTCTGTAGGAACAATAATATGATACTTTCTAAGACATACGCGCATGACATGAAGAAAAATTAAGTTATTGTTTCAAAAAACCATCTGTAATAGAAAAAATCATGTCTATATCCTGTATACTCATAAGCTGTAATTTTAATTGCCACTTGTCAATTCCAAGCGATTTATACCCAATCACCAAAATTTCAGGATCCAATCGTGGACTTTCTCTTGTACCAAAACTTTTGACGTAGTAATGCAAATCTTTGATATCACCAGAAAGGCACAACGGTCATTAAATAAACAAAACCAATATGTTCGAGTTATTGAACATTTGCAATTTGTAGAGGGGATAGTTCCATTCAAGTAACAAACGCATCATTTCTTTGTCCACACAACTTATCACCCACTTTACCAAAAAAAAAAAGTCTGAATCACATGCAATACAGGTGCCTTAACTTTATTACTGACAGAACACACACATACAAACAGGACAAAGAAAAAGGAAAACACCAGAATATAGCTTTGATGAAAGACATTTCACGACTTGAATTGAGTAGAATCTTTTAATAAATAAAGTCACAATGACCTCAGTTGCCAAAACTTAAAAACATTTTTTCAAAAAGAACCAACAGTTGGCATATTATGGCTAAAAATGTAGCACAATCATATAGATTGTTGGGTAAATATTAAGAATAATGTATTCGAAATGGCAAGAATAAGAGATGGAGAAATTAAGGGGAAATTCGAGGCTCCTGAAAAACATGATTTTCTTAAGACAGATTAGCCCTCTCCCGAATGTGCAAGAGATTTAGTGAGTTTCTATCTCCTAGGATGCAACAAATTTGTAAAGATTCCTTTGCACCAAGGATCTTCACCAGCGAACTAGAACTTTAGAACTCAAAAAACACCAAAGGAAATAGGCTAGAAAGGCTAAGAAGAAAGCTTAGAAAGCTTTGGAAATTTGGATGATTCGTTTGTTGAGAATGAGCCACTATTTGTAGGTGAAGAGTTACTTGAAGTAGTAGAATTGTTCAATTTATTTTCCCAAGTTAATTCAATTAACTTAGTTAGATACAATGTTCACCAAAATCAAAGAGGTTCCATTCATGAACTTAATCTAACTATGAATATGAACATTCATCCCCTTTGATCTCTTTAACATTGATTTATGAATTTAGTTCATTCAAATGAATTTGCAAGAACTCTTCATCTACTTGGAAAATGAATCAAGATAGGTTCATGACTCGGGTTGATCAGGTCCGACGTACTCATGAACTCAAAGGCTTCATACTTTTTATGTAGTCTCTAATTTCATTTTTCAATTAATGAGAAACCAAAATTCTCGTTCACACTAGCTCAAATTCCAACAATCCCCCACATGAATGAGATATTGTTTCGACTTAATAGTGGTGTTCATTAACTGATCCCTACATGGGGAGAAAGTAGATGTTACTCTTTGAACTTCCTCCTTGTAAAGTATGCTTGCTCTACTAGCTGTCCAATAGACGCGATGTCCTTGAACTGTCCGGCTGTATTGTGTAAAAGAAACCCACGTACAATACACAAGAACCATTTCTATATGTCGTTCTGTTCTCATGATTTTGTTCATTTTTTGCCATGAACACGTCCTGGTTCTGCGAGGGTTTCTAAAGAACTAAGCCTCACAAGTTCTCCTTTGAAGCGTCCCCACTTCTCTTTCACATAGGTGACTTCTTAAGTTTAGAACAAATTTTATTACTCACTTAAGTGTCATTAAAGCAACCATTTGCTATCCTTTCCATTATATCACTGTCTCATGGCAGGAATGAATTGAGGTTTTTCCCCACAGTGACTACACTAAGTCTTAAGATTAGGTTGTCCTTTTAAATCTAAATCTTGGGATCTCCAGTCAACTAGGTTGGGTATTCCTTCAAAAGATTTTATCTTTTCATAGACTTTACACCCATTCTTTTTGTCAATCTTTCAACTGCCTCTCTATTTAACCCTTTGGTTAGCGGATTCGTAATATTATCTTTTGACTTCACGTAGTCAATTATGATAATTCATGTTAAGAGGAGTTGTCTAATGGTATTAAGTCGACGACGAATAAGTTTTGACTTACCAACATAGTACTTTGTACCCTTCCAATCGCTGATTGGCTATCACAATGTATAACAATAGGTGACACAGGTCTTTCCTACTTTGGAATATCCTCCAAAAATTGGCGTAGACATTCAGCCTCTTCACCACACTTATCTAACACAATAAACTCAGATTCCATCGTGGATCTGGCTATATACAGTTTGTTTTGAGGATTTCCATGACACGGCTGCTTTAGCTAGAGTAAAAACATAGTCACTTGAACAGTTCGAGTCCTTTGTATCAGATATCCAATTAGCATCTGTATAACCTTCTAAAACAGATGGATATATGGTATAGTGTAGTCCATAGTCACGAGTATGTCTTAGGTACCTTAATACTCTGATTATTGTAGTCCAGTGTTCAGAGCTTGGATTACTCGTATATGAACTTAACTTGCTTACAACATAAACAATATCTGGTCTAGTACAACTCATTAGATACATGAGACTCCCTATTATCTGAGAGTACTTCAATTGAGATATACACCGTCCACGGTTTTTGGATAAATGGACACTATTAATAGTGGCGTTTTTGCGACTCCAGAAGAATTTTGTCTATGTAATGAGCTTGACTCAAAACTAGACCATTTGTTGTTTTTATGATTTTAATACCTAAAATCACATCAGATATACCCATATCTTTCACGTCAAATTTAGAATTCAAAATGTTCTGAGTAGATTTGACAAAATTGTCACTACTACCAACAATGAGTATATCATCTACATATAGACATAAAATGACATAGTCATTTTCTATCTCGTTGACATAAACGTATTTTTCACACTCATTGATTTTGAATCTACTAGTGATCATTGCATGGTCAAACTTTTCATGCCACTTTTTCGGTACTTGTTTCAGACCATACAAAGACTTTACTAGTTTACAGACTTTCTTTTCAGTTCCAGGAGCTCGAAAACCCTCAGGTTGCTCTATATAGATTTCTTCATCTAACGCACCATTTAAGAAAGTTGTCTTAACATCTATTTGATGTATTTCCAAATTTCGTAAGGCTGCAATGACAAGTATTATTCTTATGGAAGTTATTCTCGTCATGGGAGAATAAGTATCAAAGTAGTCTAAGCCTTCTCGTTGCTTATACCTTTAATCACAAGCTTGCCCTTGTATTTATTAATGGAACCATCAGGTTTTATTTTCCTCTTAAAAATCCATTTGGATCCTAATGGTTTACTTCCAGGTGGGAGATCCACAAGCTTCCAAGTGTGATTCTGTAAAAT